CTTGATCCAGAAATCAGGCAAAACAAGGCAAACCGCACAGCACAGTTACAAGTCAATTTTTGTAACGTGTCTCAATGAGCAAACAGGTGAGTGCCTACTCCTCCTCCACCCCACTTCCCTGCATTTCTGCCATAAGTTTACTTTCTGGACGAGTGCAAATTCTGTAAATAAGACTACTTTGAGACAAGTGCACTTATTAAAAAAAAAAAAATAAAAAAGAAGAGAGCAATCTTCAAATGCAAGCCTTAATCAGCATCTCAGGTCTGACTACTTCTATCAGCAGAAACTCAAAGACTAACCCCAAAAACAAGCAGAGGATCTTGAAAGCCTTGCTTGTGAGAATAAGGCACGATGACTGGTAATTTCAGCCTTCAGACTGATTCGTTGTTTTTCATCCCCTGGATCTTTTAGATGTTTTAGATGAAGGAAAATCCTTTTCCTTCTGTGTCTCTCAAAACCATGTAAAAGGTGGTAAGCCCCACACCCGTACTGCTATAGGGCAGCTTTGGTGAAGATTCCAGGGGAACATTATGTAAAACTCTGGTCATATAAGTCAACGTTTCTGCCTGCTGCACAAAAAATATCCTAAAATCATTTGCCTGGACTGACGTAGAAGACTGAGAACTACCCTACAGACGAGGCTAGGGTATCACTGCCTGTCAGAAAGGCAGGGGGTTGTCCTGCTGGCTGCCAGTAGCTTGGCAGGCAGCACCCAGCAATTCTACCACATGAACAGGAGATGCTCCCTAAATAACTGCCAACAGACAGCTGCCAGGACTACAGGAGAAAAGCTAATTCCATGGTATCAAGCAGGAAGACATAACAGATGAAGTCCAAGACAGCTATAGGGAAGCTGATTAACAGACCAGCTTCACTACAAACCAAGAGCATATTCTCTCAATTTCTAATAGCCAAGGATTTCATCACATTTAATAAATTTAAACTCTGCAAGGTATGGGATTAACAGCAGTAACATTTTGCAAATGGATGACTGAGGAGCGAAAGGACTAACCTATCATCAGGCCTCAGTGACTACAGGCAGGGACATGATGCACAACCTCCTGAAGTCCTGGGGTAGCCCTGCTTACAGAAATGCAGCAACCAGTTCCCAGAGATCAGCTCTGGAATGCTGAAGTTGAGATCTGCAGCAGTGCTCCTGCTCCAACAGATAAGGACTCTACCAGACAAGAAAATAACTGCAATCAACAACAAGAACAAAAAGAACAGCTTCTTAATACCAATTACGTATACAAAACTAAAATACACCTGTATGGAAGAAGCTACTCCTTAAAACAACCCACTGAAGACATCTTAAGACAAACTCTCCGTAAAGAAGTTAACTCTTTTAAATAAAATATAAACTCACTTTGTACCTCATTAAGAGATCCTGGTCCAGCATTGATAGGGCTTGGAACTACTCCAACGATCAACATCTTAAGTTATATGCTCCTATTTCCAAGGCAGAGCAAGAAGTTGAACTGTAGCAGAAGCAAAGAAACCCTTGTGACATCTCTCTGTACTGTTTGTCCTCAACTGCCAACAGGAGATGGACGAGAAGGTGCTTCAAGTTAAACCAGCCCGTACGTCTGTGATGCCAACATCAGCTCTGCAGAAGGATAACTGAAAGCCGCGTAACAGATCTTCCTTTTGCTATTAGATTCAAAGAGATAGTTTCAAATGCACTAAACCTACTTCCTAGTCCATCTCTTAATTAGGCTGCACCAAGCAATACAAAATTTAAATTCCAACAGGTCATTTCCTTCCTTGCCAAGCTACATTACTTGGCAGAGAAGTGATGCAATAAGTCGTCATTACTCAAGAAAATGAAATTCTATTTATTCCTATGGCCTTGAACATATCACATTATGTAATTTGGACATTCCTATGCAATGTGACATAGATTTGTATATATTTCTCTCTTTTTCTGTATTGTTTCTAAATGAACGTCTTGAAAACAAATATAAAATGGAAGCTCATTAACATTTTGGGCCTCTTTTTAAACTAGTCGTTGCAAACTACCATCCCCAGGCATGCAAGTATTACTCTCCTCACACTAAGATACAGGAGGAAGGGCAAGTCGCACAATGTAATTAAAAACACAAAATGTTGACAAATTCAACAGGCTTGGGGTAGGGTTTTTTGATCCTAAGTTCCAAAACAAACAAACAAAAACAACAACAAAACCAGCTACTACATTTGCTCTTATTTATGTTTGTGAAGGAATATTTAAAAAGATCTCTCAAAGAAAGTTGCCTTGCAGATTAACATTTCTGAAAGTGTAAAAATCCCCTTTTTGTCCACCTCATTCTTTAAGGTCAGTAAATCCAGACCATTTGGATAATGAAGTTACCAACAGAGCTCCCTATTTGTCTAATTAAAACTTCTGTACAGCTCATATGGAAAATTTGTCTACAGCTAAAAAACAACTGAAGCATAAAAAGCAGCTGCAAGGAAATGATGTCACTCGTACAGCGTTACGGCAGGCAGAGCTAGCTGTCAGCGTATCGGCACCAGGAAGATCCTGATTTATTGTTAAACTCCTCTTTTGAGCCAAATAACATATTTAAAAAAAAAAAAAAAAAGGATCTTTCAGTGAAATCCTGCTCTCACTGAGGCATCTGTGGTAAACTTTCAGCAAGATCATGACTTCAAGCCTGGTCCTTTGTATTCCATTTTTTTTGTATAGAACTGGTCTACTTTTATCCGTGAGGATAGAAGGATGAATCTTTACCTGCTTTTACTCATCAAAAACACAAGCAGCACAACTATGCAAAGCAGTCTCTCTTCTCTCATGGGCAGAGACCAAGACAACTTGGTTTTGCTAATTTTGACTGTTACTAAGTAAATGCAGGTGGTGAGAAGACAGGCATCATTTCGTCTGTCTTCTGTCAGCAGGCAGCTCACGCTTCCACAACCATCACCCTCAGCGCACAATTCTCTGTTGCCTAAAGGCACTTGTTGCCAGGTATTACCTTTTATTTATAAGCCAGTTAAGGATACATTTGTTTAATTTTTTGCTCTACAGGGTCATCCACGCTGCCATTTGGGCCAAAGACAAGTCCAGAAGATGTGTCCTCCCTCTTTCCAGGAAACCCTCCTCCACCGGGGGAAACGAGGGAGAGACACTACTTCTGCAGTCCTGAAGGACGAAGATTCAGGTTCAAGTCCTTCGCGTAAAGTTCCGTAGCAATGTTCTAGCAGGTTATAGATCTGCACGCAAATCCTACGACAAGCTAGTTCCTAGTAACCCCATTTGTAATACCCGAGCATCGCCTCGCGGCTGCAGCATCTTCTGTAGTTGGGCCCTCAGAGATAAAGGGCCGCCCCTCCTCCTCTCTCATATAAAGAGCAACTGTAAAATTAACAATACAGACAACTCCTAATGCTTCTTCAAGACATTACACCCTTTTCTTCACAGTAAAATATCATCAGAGAATAAACACTTTCCTACAAGTTTTCAGAGAGGTTTAAAACAAACAAACAAACCAACCCCTAGAATTCACATCATAACATATTAGAATGAAGGGATGTAAACACCTACCATATGCTTATTTAACTAAAGCGCATTACAAACAAAAAAACCTATTTCATAGCACCTCATACACCTGCTGGATCTGAATTGTAACTTCGGTGTCATAACTTAGAAACAATTTTAACAAATCGTTATATGCAAACATTGTGCATATTGCACAAACATTAGAAAAACAGCTCCTCCCAGTCAATGTCGGACCGCCTACTGTATGCGCAGGGACACGCGCTCAAAGCATATCATATTTAATTTTTAATGGAAAAGTGTGTGTGTATATATACATGCATACACACAATTCAAAATTCTGCTGTCACCATTTTGCTCCTAGATTGTAGGCCACACTCGAGTACGACTCTACTTTCCCAAATAAGTATTTTGGATACTTGAATACATGTCAACATGATACCGTAACACAAATTAATAAATAAAGGCACCCTACATTTCCTCCATAAACCCGCCACACAGACTGTCTTGAAATTCTGAGCCTGCCAGTCTATTTTAAAACTAAATCTTTGAATCATTGATATATAACAGTGATGAGCAAACGACAAGCGGATTGTAAGCAAGCTCAAATAACTTGCCGGGTAAGACTACGCTCACCGACTAAAAGCGGTTACCAAACATCAAACTGTAATGAAAAGATTTAGCAAAAATGCAGAGCAAATCGATAACTCTTCAAAACTAATGAAAATTTTATTTTCATTAAATATGTCAGCAAATTTCTCCAAAATGTTTTGCATTCTTTTCCTCACACATTTCACATTGCTTTACTCTACTTGGACTTACCTAGTGCATGAAATTACCTCTTTTCTTATAGCTGTTCACATTTTTCCCCAAGTAATTAGCAAGCTACATGCCCTTTGACAGAGGGTACTAACAAGCTCCTACAGTTTCCAGTAGGACAAGGAATCCAAAGCTACTAATAGCAAACAAGTCATTTAAGCAAAAAAGGATTACGAAGGCTCGTTGCAAGAGGCTGGAAACTCACCCGTATTTCAGATTAGGGCTTTCTGAGAAGCTCTTTTGTAATGAGTTTTGACTCCATTTTACAAAAATATTTCATTGTTTTCTTTTAAAAACCAAAATACTGATTTGAATATCTATTAATAGTTTCTTCATCAAAATAACTAAGTACTAGAAAGATGAAAAAGCGTTTTCCAAAGGCAAAATGACAGAAACATTAGTTTTGTAAGAAAACTTCCCTCCCAAGATCTTAAAGTTTAAAGAAAACAGAAGTCACACAAACTTAAAAAAAAAAAACCAACCAAAAAAACAAAAAACAAACAAAAAACCAAACACGAAAAGTCTTCCATTTTTGCTACCAGGACACCAAAATAAGCTGCAAATCAAGCCAGAGCACAGCTTATTTGGAAAATTTCATTGCCAGAAGTCCCTACAACCACGACCCTATTAAATAAAGTACATTTAGATGAGCAGGAGCTCCTAAGCAGAAAAGCAGAGACCGGCATACCTTGAGGACCTCCATGGGTACCTGGGTGGCGGGGGGCAGGCTGGTGGGGACGCTGACGTTGATGGCAGGTGTCTGGCTGACGGGTACTCGCTGCTGCATGAACTGGGCTGCTTGCTGCTTCTGCTGCTGCTCCCGACGCTCCTGCTCCTGCATCTGCTCACGCATGAGCTGCTGGCGTAGCAGGATTCGTGAGGTCATGCTGGAGGAGCTTAAGGGAGGCTTGGAAGCGCCAGGATGCTCGGAATTGCTGTGGGAAGACCAGAGAGAGACAGCTCAGCTTCCACAAGCGGGATCGCAGCTCCAGCGGTCGGAGCTTGCAGACTCACACCAGAACGTGG